CTGCCCCGCCCCGGCGCCTTACTCACCTGCCCCGACCCGGCACCTTACTCACCTGACCTGACCCAGCACCTTACTCACCTGACCCGGCACCTTACTCACCTGACCTGACCCGGCACCTTACTCACCTGACTCACCTGACCCGGCACCTGACTCACCTGACCTGGCACCTTCGGACTTCTTTCTGTTTCCAAATCTGAAGAAACAGCTTCAAACCCCCCTAACAATGATGTCACCTAGCAGCAACACACGGCTCGGTATTCAACTTTGTCCAGCATGACACCTACTCCAATTCTCATGGCTCTGACTATAATTCACCATGACCTACAAAAACAATAATTGGCATATTACTTGGATATCTCCCTATACCTTACCCTAACCTGCAAAATTTCAGATCCCTCGCACATGTAGATCATGGTGAGGGTAGGAGCAGATTGGCCTCCCCTCGTAAAGCCCGCTGAGCCCATTCTGTTTTCACGATCTTCTGCAGGTGCCAAAATTGCCAGTAAAGTTGGCCACAACAAGCGAATCTTTGTGGCGGAGTTCCGGCCAGACTCGGACACCCAGTTTGTGTCGGTAGGGGTAAAGCACGTGCGGTTCTGGACTTTGGCGGGGAGAGCGCTGCTGAGTAAGAAGGGGATGCTGAGCTCCATCGAGGATGCCCGCATGCAGACTATGTTGGCTGTGGCGTTTGGCGCGGTGAGTACCCGTCCCTGGACATCAAGTGACTTCTAGGTTTCCTGATGGTGACAACGGTGGCCATGTCTGTGTAATGTGTGCTGAAGCGGAGACTTTACAAAGTGACACAACGGGGATTCCATTGGGTGGCGGGCACCGTTGGCTCTATCAGGGCATTGCAGTCTTGAATCTCTTCCTTTCTCTCATAGGGGAATCTGACGTTTACGGGAACCATTAGCGGAGACGTCTGTGTGTGGAAGGATCACATACTGTCCCGTATTGTGGCCAAAGCTCATAACGGTCCTGTGTTTACCATGTACACCACGCTGAGGGACGGCCTCATCGTCACTGGAGGGAAGGAGAGACCGTAAGTTCCTCCACCTGAATGTCAATGACTTCCCCGGAAGTACGATTATTTTCATAGCTTTGAACAGTTCCTGACAGCCACACGTTGTTCCTGCACCTCATCCCATGTGATGTATGCTGACACTCTCTCTCTCTCAGGAATCAACAACTTTTCCCACATTAAGGGTCAGCGTACAAGCGTTAGATAACTGGCGTGCGAGTAAGCAATAGCACGCCATAGACCTCAGATGAGATTCCTGCTCCATAACACCTCAGATCTACCCCAATTCCTGCACCTTCACACCTTAGATCAACCCCAATTCCTGCACCTTCACACGTCAGATCAACCCCAGTTCCAGAACCATCAGACCTCAGATCAACCCAATTCCTGCACCTTCACACCTCAGATCAACCCCAATTCCTGCACCACCAGACCTCAGATCACCCCAATTCCTGCACCTTCAGACCTCAGATCACCCCAATTCCTGCACCTTCACACCTCAGATCACCCCAATTCCTGCACCTTCACACCTCAGATCAGCCCGATTCCTGCACCTTCACACCTCAGATCAGCCCGATTCCTGCACCTTCACACCTCAGATCAGCCCGATTCCTGCACCTTCACACCTCAGATCAACCCCAATTCCTGCACCACCAGACCTCAGATCACCCCAATTCCTGCACCACCAGACCTCAGATCACCCCAATTCCTGCACCTTCACACCTCAGATCAGCCCGATTCCTGCACCTTCACACCTCAGATCAGCCCGATTCCTGCACCTTCAGACCTCAGATCAACCCCAATTCCTGCACCACCAGACCTCAGATCAACCCCAATTCCTGCACCACCAGACCTCAGATCACCCCAATTCCTGCACCTTCACCCCTCAGGTCAGCCCCGGTTCCTGCACCTTCACACCTCAGATCCACCCCAATTCCTGCACCACCAGACCTCAGGTCAGCCCCGGTTCCTGCACCTTCACACCTCAGATCCACCCCAATTCCTGCACCTTCCCCCCTCAGATCACCCCAATTCCTGCTCCTTCACACCTCAGATCAGAGCCATTCTCCTCTGGCACCTCCTATTGTTTGCACCGTTCTCTGTATACTCCTTAGACTGCAGAGTGTGGAAATCACTGGTGGTCACAGTTCCTAAGATGCTACAACTGCCATGTCTGCCCCCAAGAATCATTCCACAGTGAAAGCTGCTTAGATCTTGTATCTTCTGATGTTTGGCTGAACAACTTAGTCTCTTGACCACGTCTGAGTGTTATATGTATCATGTTGCAGTGACATGATTTCCTGTTTGAATATTCACATTAACAGGCAGGTGTACCTAATAAAGTGACCGGTAGATCTAAGGCTGGGCACACACCTTACAACCATCTCAAGACTTTTGTCTTGCGATGGTTGTAAGGTACTTTAAAAAAACGTACGATCTGTCTATCTTGCATAGGCAGATCGTACTTGCGATGATCGCAAGCCACGCCCCCTGAGGGGCGCGCTTTCGATGACTGCAATGCCGAACGGTCAGTGTGCGCTTGCGCACACCGGCCCGTACGGCTGTTATCTTACGAACAAGCAACACACCCGCCGAACATCGTACGATGCTCGGCGGGTTTTCGAACATGTCCGTAAGTTAAAAGTCGTGCGAGCTTACAGTAGTAGAGGTCGCACGGCTTCCACACACCTTAAAGGTGTGTGGGGACCTTAAGAAGGATTATCTAGAAGCAGGATTCAGAGCATAGCAGAGTGGAGTACCCCTTCAGCAACCAATAAAATGTTAGTTTTTACCAGCTTAGAGCAGTACGTGTAATGGCACGAAGGGGTAGATGGCACGAAGGGGTAGATGGCACAAAGGGGTAGATGGCACGAAGGGGTAGAAGGCTGCTATGGGATACTGCATATTGCCACCTTGTGATTTTAATAAAGCCAAAACTACTTCCATGCCTGACCCCATTTTGCACCGGCAGGTCCAAGGAAGGTGGTGCAGTGAAGCTGTGGGATCAGGAGCTGAAGAGGTGTCGCGCCTTCAGGCTGGAGACCGGCCAGACGACCGACTGTGTGAGATCAGTGTGCAGGGGCAAGGTAGGTTCTTTTAGCACCCATTTATGTAAAATGTTAACGTGATTTTACAGAGCGAGATCGCAATAAATAAGTCTAAGCCAATGAATGGGGATCCCCAGTGAAGGAGGCGTCCCCCTTCTTGCAGCTCTGGTTGTACAGACTTCACATCCAGGGTCACCTGTCATGGTCACATCTGGTATTGATGAAGAATTAATAACAGTTCTATACAAGAATTGCAGATTATTTTGTCCCTTCCTCAGGAGCCACATGAGATCTCTGCATTGTAGAGGAATAATATCCTGGTGACCCCGTTTCTAGGTTTGGCCAGAGCCAGGCTTTCTAGATTTATTAGATATATTGTGCATCCAAAATGTATTGTATCACGGCATTATACATCTGCCCTCTTTGCCTGCGGTCCTCAGGGGAAGATCCTGGTTGGCACGCGCAATGCGGAAATCATTGAGGTGGGGGAGAAGAACGCAGCTTGTAACATTCTCATCAATGGTCACATGGATGGACCCATCTGGGGACTGGCCACCCATCCAACCCGGGACTTCTTCCTGTCCGCTGCGGAGGATGGCACCGTGCGGCTGTGGGACATCGTGGATAAGGTAGGGAAGACACCAAGTTCCACTTTAGAAATAAATGATGTATATGCAGCTGGTGTGTCCTGAAATTTGGGTAAAACTCCTAATGTATATATAAGAGTACACAATGAATACACAGTGCACCCAGTACTCATCTTTCCCAAGCTAGCTGTACTGTCCGTGCCCTATTTAGTAAGGCAGCTGTCGGTGGGGACGGCTCAGTAGATCGGGAGGTGAGCGAACACATACCGGCGTTCGCTCACCTCTCGATCCTGTCACGGGTCTCTGCCGTGACAGGGGAGGGGCTGGACTTAGGGTTGCCACCTGTCCAGGATTCACCCGGACAGTTCGGGTTTTGAATGCTGTGTCCGGGTTTCATGGAACCAGGAACCCGGACACAAGATGTCAGGCAGACAGGGGGCAACCAAAATTAAGATAGGGGCTACTGGCCCCCCACTGAAAATAGTCTCAACTGTGTTATTTACATATTAATGGGTGGTGCCCATTACATATGAATAAGCCGCGACTCATTCTCCCCAAAAAATATGTCCGCGTGTCGCTAGAGTGTTCGGGTTTCGCTTGAAGAAAAGGTGGCAACCCTAGCTGGACTCCCCCCTCCGATCCGCCAGCGCTGACTGGCGGAACGGACGGGGGAGGGGGCGGGTACAGCCGGCTCTGCCTCTAGATAGGCAGAGCCAGCTGTCAATCACGCAGCTGGGTGGATCCAGACAGTAATGTCGGGATCCGTCCCGGCTGCGGCGTCTCAGTACATAGGGAGCTGCAGCTCCCTATATACTGAGCTTAGGGTGACGGGAGGACGTTAGTTTGTGTTCTCCCGTGACCCTGAGAACTATGGGGAAAAGCCCTGACCCCATAGTTCTCCTTTAACTACAATGAGAGTGAAAATTTCAGATGCCACAACATCTTATTGAGGCAATTTCAAGCAAAGCTGTCAGTCACGCAGCTGGGCGGATCCTCCAGACACAATTGTCGGGATCCCCTTCAGCTGCGGCGTCTCAGTATACCGCGAGCAGCAGCTCCCTATATACTGAGCTTAGGGTGACAGGAGGACGCTAGTTTGTGTCCTCCCGTTACCCTAAGGATAACTATGGGGAAAAGCCCTGACCCCATAGTTCTCCTTTAAGGAAGGGGGTGTGAAGGCCGCCATAATGTGTGGGAGTGGAGTGCGGAAGATTGTTAACGGGAGCTCCACTGGGGACGTCGGAGGTGGAAAAAGATTTGGTGCTCATTGCTGACTGCAGACTAAACAATAGCAGGCAATGCCAGGGGGCAGCAATCAGCTAGCAGAGTACTATGATGCATAACAAGGGAATGTACTGTAGAGACAAAGCAATAGTTTTGCCACTTTTACAAAACACTCATCCGTCCTCATGTTGAGTATACGGTTCAGTTTTGGTCACCAGTCCACAGGAAGGATGTCCATGAACTGGAGAGAGTCCAGAGAAGGACAACGGACCCGATAAAGGGGCTGGAAGACCTAAGCTATGAAGAAGGTTGCAAAGTTTAAACTTGTTCACTCTACAAAATGATTCAATGAAGAGGGAACATGATTGTAATGTACAGACTGTTGAATGGTGATATCAGTAATAAACTTTTTGCTGTAAACTCACTTTGGTTGGTAACCATCTACCTGATCATGGTGGGGGAGATCTTCCTGGGTGGGATCCCGGGAATACAGAGGACGGGGACATCTCCCTGGTGGGTTCCTCTTACTGGATCCATCTGTAGGAAACACACACACTGACTGAATACATTGTTTCTATGTGTGTATCAGATGATGGGGGATGTAGGCGGAGCCTCCGTACTGCTCTCTCCTCTTACCGGTGATGTGAGGGGCGGGGCATTCTCCATCACCACGTCCTTGTAGAGATCACGGTGTCCTTCTAGATACTCCCACTCCTCCATGGAGAGATAGACAGAGACATCCTGACACCTTATAGGAACCTGACACACACAATGATACAGTCACCACCCAGACACACCCCTTGTCTGTTCCTGGATCAT